TATATATATATATATATATATATATATATATATATATATATATAGATATATATATATATATATCCAATCAATTTTTCTTCTATATTTACTGAAAATATAGAGATAATGTCACGGCCCTAACCAAGAACCCGATCGTGATGACGCCTCTCGTGAAAACAAGGCCAGCCAATTAAACCCAATTCACTTTTTAAAACAGTTAAACAATATAAAAAAGAAGTCTAAACATGATTTAATTATAATAAGTAGCGGCTATACACCCCGATATAGCCCTAACCGGGGTGTCACAAGTCACGAGCATCTACTAGGGTATAAATACAACTGAAAGCCTGGAGTGTACAAATACAGTCTAATGAAATGAAGAGAGAGAAAAGCAATGCTGCGAACGCCGGCAGCTACCTTGCTAAACTCTGATGACTCTGCCTCCGATCAACCAGAACATACCTGAATCTGCACACAAGGTACAAGGAGTAATGTGAGTACTCCGACACAGTGAGTAATAATAATAAATAAAGACTGAAGGCAAGAAATCACGTAAAACATATCAAGATGCTGTATAGAAGCAGTCCAAAACTAGTAAGAAAGCAGTGAAGCTATAAAAATCTCTTAAAATATCTTAGCTTAGTTTAAACTTCTTTGAAAGTGGCTTTTTCAATGGTTACGCAAATGAATGCAAAATAGTTAATGCAGAGAAGCACAGAAATTTGCCCCTCGGGCACAAATACCATAGTTTAACTGGTAAAATGACAAGTAAATATGAAAGATAAACAAATAAAGGTTCGCCCCTCGGGCACAATGTCAATAACTCCGCCCCTCGGGCAATATCTCAGAACAATACTAGCCCCTCGGGCAATCACATAGAACGGTACCAGCCCCTCGGGCAATCACATAGAACGGTACCAGCCCCTCGGGCAATCACATGGAACAATAACAGCCCCTCGGGCTATCACATAGAACAATATCATCCCTTCGGGCTACCTCTCACATCACAATGGGTACCCGCGCTCACTGGAGGTGTACAGACTCCGGGAGGGGCCCCTTATGGCCCAAGTGCAATATCAAGTCATCTCGTGGCATCAAATCTAGGCCCTCGGCCTCATATCAGTCAAGCCACCTTGTGGCGTATATATCTCAGGCCCTCGGCCTCATAAACAATATCAACAAGCCACCTCGTGACGTACATATCTCAGGCCCTCGGCCTTAATCAGTATCAGTGTCTCCTCACAACTAGGCCCTCGGCCTTACTCAGTCAAAAATACTCACAAGCCCCTCGAGCATTAGTAAAATAGTATTTCTCATCCCAAAACATCATTTAGAATATCATTTAAGTCTCAAAATGGAGTAAAAATGGCTGAGTGGTAAAACAGTGGAAAATAACATGACTGAGTTCAATTAATAAGTCAAAGCAGTGAGGAAATAGTAATAAAAATCCCCAAAGGGTTCAAATAGTTAGCACGAAGCCCAAATATGACAATCAGCCCAAATCATGATGATAACAAATAAGTTTCAGTCAAATACGCGGTAAAATTATCAATCGGGACGGACCAAGTGGTAATCCCCAATAGTGCACGACCCCACGCTTGTCAACAAGCGTGTGCCTCACCTCAATATAGCATTACGATGTACAATCTGAGGTTTCAAACCCTCAGAGCATCATTTACAACATGACTCACCTCGAACCGGATAATTCTCTAGATCGCGATGCCTTTGCCCCTCGAATTGGCCTCCACTCGCGTCGAATCTATCCAAAATCAGAACGAATACGTCGCAAAATGCTAAGGGAACAAAGCCCAAGCGAAAACAATCGAATTACCACAAAATTTCAGAAATTGGTAAAACCCGACCCCCGGGCCCACATCTTGGAATTTGACAAAATCCACAAAACTAGAATCCTTATACCCTCTCGAGTCTAACCATACAAAAATTATCCAATTCCGATACCATTTGGTCTTTCAATTCATCATTTTACATTTTTAAAAGATTTCATAATTTTCTTTCCAAATCACGAATTAAATGATGAATTCAATGATGGATTCATGTACTCTAGCCAAATCCGAGCTAGAATCACTTACCCCAATGAATTTCTTGAAAAACCTTCGAAAAATCGCCAAAATCCGAGCTCTCTAGGTCAAAATATCAAATAAAACCCAAAACCTCATATTTATAGAGCACCCCCGGATTTTCACCATTACGGACTGCACAAAATCGACTACGGTCCGAACAAAACCAGTGCGGTCCGCAAAAAAACGATCGCGGCCGCACATGCTTTCCTCTACAGTGACAGGCTTTAGTATTTTGGCCATGACTTTTGCTATAGATGTCCATATTGCAATATCTTTACCTTTCTGAAAACTAGACACGAAGGGCTATAACTTTTGTTTTTAAATCATCTCAAAATTCCTTGTAGATCAAAAGATATGAGCTTCCGAAGTAGGACCAATGAAATGTCCCCCACCGCGGCCGCACTGCATTTTGTGCGGTCCGCACAACACCTACCGAGGCCGCATTTCATTTTGTGCGGTCCGCACAACACATACCGAGGCCGCACTTCTTTTCTTTTGTGCAGACCACGTGGGTGTGTTTCGAGGCCTGCAACACTTCTGGACCTACTACAGCTATGATTTTCGGCCTAAAACATCCCGGAACTTCAAACCAATTGTACTAACACATCCCATGATATTGTTCAAACTTGTTCAAAACTTCGAAACGCTCACAACAATATCAAATCACCAATTTAACATAGGATTCAAGCCTAAGAATTCCAATAATTCTTAAATTATGCTTTCGATCAAAAAGCCTATCAAATCTCGTGAGAATGACCTGAAATTTTGTACACACATCCCAAATGACACAACGAATCTACTGCAACTCTCGGAATTCCATTCCGACCCCTATATCAAAATCTCTCCTATCAACCGGAAACGTCGAAATCTCAATTTCGCCAATTCAAGCCTAAACCTTCCACGGACTTCCAAAATGCATTCCGATCACGCTCCTAAGTCCTAAATCAACTAACGGATCTAACCAAACCATAAAAATTCCAATCTGAGATCAAATACACACAAGTCAAATCTTGGTCAAACCTTTCAAATTTTAAGCTTTCAACTGAGATTGTTCTTCCAAATTCATTCTGATTAACCTGAAACCCAACACCAACGATTTACATAAGTCATAATACACAACACGGGGCAAGTCATGCCCGAGAACTGGCGAGCGAAGTGCA